CTACGCATCTCTAACGAGCCCCTCTTTCTAATGGTGTCAGCTTCTCCAAAATATTCCTTAAAACCTGTTCTCCCAGGATCTCCAAACTACACACCAAAAACGAAAATAGAACAGAAAAAGACCGAAAAATAAACAGAAAACACCGCAACACTCAAATGAACGCAAAAAACATAATAGATGACAAAAAGATCCTAAAACCACCTAAACGACTCAATACGGGGGAAAAGAATGGGAAAAAGACAACAAAAAAATGTAACAAAAATGGGACAAACATCCTCCCACCAAATAGTAAAGAAAAAATGTTTGAGATTATTGCAGTTCCATTGGATCCCGGCCAGCTTCCATACATTTTGAGCCCTGCAGTTGAACATGAGATGATCTAGGTCCTCTACTTCCTCTCCACAGCAGCTGCATATATTATCTGATATAATGCCCTTCTGAGATAATCTGCTGCTGGTCCCCACCTAGTTGTGAAGACATCTCCATACAAAGTTCTTGATTTTTAGTTTGACCTGCAGCTTCCAGAGTTTTCCCAAAATATGTGTCTGACTTTAGGGCCTGAGCTCGATTCAATCTCCCCAGCCTTAACATTTTTGCTCTTCTGAATGGTTATATAGGCATCTTTAACAATGAATATACCTTTTTTATTAGGATGCCAAAGGAGTTTGTCTGGAGATCCTGGGTGACTGATGTGAGTAACCAAAATGAGTTGTGCATCTGAAGGATTGAAGGTTTGATGAATAAGGTCAGAATTCCAGCTTCTTCCATCAGTGGTCATAAGATCAAACACCATTTGTAAGCTGTTTCTCTCTTCCTCAGAACAACGAGTTGGTTTAAAATGAGTTGTATTTGGTAGCCAAGGGTGGTCCCAAATTTTAATAAAGAGCCCATTGCCAACCTGATATCTTAGCCCCAGAACCAAGGACTCCCTGCAGTCTAGCCAATATCTCCACATCCATGAGTCAGAGTCCTTCTTAGGAATTTCTAAAAAAAAATTTCATGGCAATATCTACCCCTCAAGACCCTGCTCATGAGGCAATTTGGCTTTAATACTCTCCAGATATGTTTCAGCATAAGAGCTTCATTCATGTCTTTCAAGTCTTTAAAGCCTAAACCACCATCTTTCTTATCTTTGGCTAATTTCCCCAGTTGGCCCAATGGATTCTTGATCCTCCCTCTTCATTCCTTCCCCACCAAAAATCAGCTATGGAGCTGCAGATTTCATTGCAAAGACCTACATGCAACTTAAATACAGACATAATATATATAGGCATAGCACTCAGAACAATTTTTATCAAAATCTCCTTGCCTGCTTCACTAAGAAAAATATTTCTCCAGTTTGTCAATCTATTAATCACACAATATTTAACAAAAGCAAAAGTATCTTTTTTATTCTTACTAATTCCCATTATAAGCCCTAAGTACTTTGAGGATTTGGCTATCACAATTTCATGAAGCAGATTGTAGATTTCAGCTTTGGCTATCAAAGGGGTATTGGCTGAGAAAAAAATATTAGATTTATGCATATTAACAGATTGGCCAGAGGCTGCACAATAAGACTTAAATGTTTAGCAAAATCTGAGCATGAGCCTTATCTGCCTGACAAAAAATGAGAGAGTCGTCAGCAATAAATAGATGAGAAATAGGCGGAGAAATAGATGGATCAATATTGATCCATCTAACAATTTTTTGATACACTTCTAATTAAGTCTTCAAGTAACAAATTAAATTTTTATTTTTCATCAATTTTTTGCTTATAGTATATATTAAATTGACTGTTTTGATAATTATATGGTCATTGGATTTAATTTGGAGAATGAGACAATTGAGGGGATGTTGGTTCTTTGAGGTTTTTCCATTGGAGAAGTGAATTAATTAATTAATTAGGAATTATATATTATTCAATGGTCCAATATTTAAGGCCATTGTTTTGGGTGCCCCTTTCCCTTTTGCTGGCCACATAACTTGCATCAAATTATTGGAAAATCCTAAAGTTCCATTACTGAACTATTCCGTCGAATTTATAACCGTTAACGGTTATGGTTATAAATCCGACGAAATAATTCAGTAACGGGACCGCAATATCTTCCCAAATTATAAGATAATATCTTCATTTACTATGACTTTTCTATAATTTAATTAGCTGACCTATGATTATTATGTTGCAAACAACAAAGTCATTAGTCCACAAAATGTTGTTGCACCTTAACGTGAAAATTTTGTTTTCATTGCGTTGCTAAAAAGGAATTGATTTCAAATTTGGATGAATGATAATTCAAGTCATGATCCACTGTTTGATTGAGTTTTAAGCACCCCCTAATAATATATATATTTATATTTATATATTAGCTTTAAAATCATTTATTAGCTAGTGTTGCTTATATTGGTTACCTAAATGGCTTTAAAAATACTAGTTAAACAATATAATTAAGAAATGGGAGATAAAACAGATAATTTTATATTGTGATGTGGCCTAATTGTGACCTGTCACAAATACCATTCCGTCGGGATTTTTGATCGTTAGATCATCATGTAACCGTCGTCGATAGTTGATCTAAAGGTTACACCCCCGACGGAATGATTCCGTAACGGAAATAATAATAATAATAATAATAATAATAATAATAATAATA